CAGGAGACCACGGCTCCCCCTCACCTAGAACCCCCTTGTCCCACCCTGGGGGTGTGTTCTGGGGAGAGGGCAGGTTCATCCGGCACGCAGTGACCTGCCCTGTCCCAGCAGTTTTGGGGGGAGAGCTTCCCAACCCAGTCATGGTTGGGGACTTGGGGCAGGCAACAGGCATCATTTATTTTATTCACTAGCCCAGGGCTTCTTCTTTGCTTTTGCAAGGGAGCAATGTCAACAGGCTTGTTTTGGACAAAAGTGTTGGCTGTTGGGTTATCTTCATAGAATCATAGAATCGTACAGTGATTTGGGTTGGAAGGGACCTTAAAGATCTTCCCTTAATGTAAAGAGCTTCCAGATGATGTTCCCAGACTGTTTCCCACAAAGAAGATACTCAAACCAGCTCTGATGGCCCCCAAAACCAGAGGAACTGCCTGGAGAAGGGGAGCTTTGTTAGCAAACGTCTTCTTGGGAGGTTCAGAGAGGTGCTGAACCTCACCAGTCCTCCAGCAGCTATCCCAGATGGCCATATGAGTGTCCTTTGGAGGACCTGTCACCTCCATGGACAGGACCTTCCTGCAGCAACAGTGAACCCCAGCAAGGCTGTGGGTCTGCGTAAGATAAGGTGAGGACACAACTTGCATGACATCTGAGCATCCTGACCCTACATGCCATGGTGGGGTCATGTCTTGCCCTGACTTCCCCACAGCTGGATCCAGCGCAGCGGATTCAGTCTCTCTTCCTCTGGGAAGGATGAAATCTTGAGTTTGGCTCTAAGGTTAGGCAGAAAAACTAAAACCCAGCCAGATGACCAGCCACAACCAGCTGCTGGTTTTGCTTTCAGCTCTTAAAAACTTTAGGCAAAGGGGTTTTATTTAGAATCTCAGAACGGTTTGGGTTGGACGGGACCTTCAAGATCATCTAGTTCCAACCCCCCTGCCATGGACAAGGGCACCTTCCACTACACCAGGTTGCTCAAAGCCTCATCCAACCTGGCCTTGAACACCTCCAGGGATGAGACAGCCACTACTCCTCCCCTCCAGCCACGTCACCCTCTGCTCTTTTTCAAGTGTGTCTGCGCTTGGCTTCAACGGCCACTTGTGGGAGGGAAAAATAAGGCTGAAGCATCATCCCGTGAGCTGGCGGGAGCTGTTCCAGAGCAGCAGGCAGCCAGCCTGGACACTAGTCCTTGGTAAAACAGTGGAGAGAGGGTCCTTGAGACCAGCCCACAAAGCTCTGCTGTGAGGACAGCGAGAGAAGGGCTGTGTGAAAGGACATCATGGGCAGAGGATGGGAAAATGGGGCTGGGGGCAGAGTGGGAGGCATAAAAAGGTCATTGCAGGGAAGGGAGGAGTAGTGATCCATCCACACGTGATGGACATTGAGGACCTTTCGGTGCTGACACTTCTCTTGGGGCTGAATCCCACCGCTGCACCAGCAAACCCCATCTCACTACCCCAAGAGTTGTTCCTCTGGCCAGACGTAGAGGTTTATTCTCCAGGCTTGTCCTGAACCACTCCACGACCAGAGCAGAGAAAAAGACTGTGATGATAGACTCCAACGTGATGATAAAATGAATTGCACCCCACAGTCATCTCCTTATGGGGTGGTACAGGGTGGGGGGGTTGAGGCAGGGGACCAAGGGGAACATCTCGCTTTCGAATCACAGCCAAGAGCTCCTCCAGGACGATTAGCTACAGACCAGCTTTCCTTTATTGCACGAGTGGATAGACATTTAACGTGCTTGTCTATAATGGAATCCATTATCCTCATCTTTCACGGAGGCCCTACACTTCTGGTTCCCCCTTTTCATGGCTGGAGGTGGAGGGGGAGAGGAGATGGAGCCAGGTACAGCCAGGTCCTTTGTGCAAACACTCAGGAGGCACTCTCCCCATAAACGTTTGGGCTCCTAAATGGATCTGACCTCCCCTCCTCCAGCCCCTTTCCCTTTCATTTTCTTTTCCCCATTATCCTCGCGAAAAAAAAACCCACAAAAAAAATCTCAAACCAAAACACAACACAACCCCTTGTCCGGATCATTAGCGTCAGAGGCGGAGACGGGCGCTGAGTGCCACATGGAAAAAGCGAATGTACATTTCATTCAATGCCCCTTGAGTGGTGTTTCGCTCAAGGCTGCTCCTTCACAAAGGGAGACGTGAAAATGGTCCCCTCCGATGGCCGCCCCAACAGGGCTCGACGCAAAGCTGCCTCTTCAGGGAGACAAAGCGAGGCCGTTTCTTCTGCCTCCGATTGATGTCTGAGCTGTTCAGGGAGCATTTAGCAAGGAGGGGAGCGGGGAAGGGTGGGTGGAGAAATTCAATGAGAGAGCCCAAGCGAGGCAAACAGAGATAACGGCTCTGGAAGACCCAAGGTTGAGTGTTTGGCGTTTGGTCTGCCGTTGCTGGCATCATTCCCCGCTGTTTGGGGGGACATGTTTCTTCTGCCTCCGATTGATGTCTGAGCTGTTCAGGGAGCATTTAGCAAGGAGGGGAGCGGGGAAGGGTGGGTGGAGAAATTCAATGAGAGAGCCCAAGCGAGGCAAACAGAGATAACGGCTCTGGAAGACCCAAGGTTGAGTGTTTGGCGTTTGGTCTGCCGTTGCTGGCATCATTCCCCGCTGTTTGGGGGGACATCAGCTACGACCCCTCCAGTGGTCCAGGATTAATTGAAGCCAACACTAAAACTTTCGGCTACGCCCTTAGCCAAGTCTTTCCCAAATTGTAGATGCAGATTACACCACCTTGCTGGTTTTCAAGTGTCCCAGTGAGCAGCTGTTATCAAGCATCCATCTCCCCGAAGTGCTGTGCGGAGCAGCTCTGTGAAGCCTGTGCCATCTCCATCGTCTTCTGCTACAATTACGTCTTAGAATCATAGAACGGTTTGGGTTGGAAGGGACCTCAAAGATCATCTAGTTCTAACCACCCTGCCATGGGCAGGGACAACTTTCACTACACCAGGTTGCTCAAAGCCTCATCCAACCAGGCTTTGAACACTGCCTGAGATGGGGCAGCCACAGCTTCTCTGGGCAACCTGGTCCAGTGCCTCACCACCCTCAGAAGGAAGAATTTCTTCCTTAGATCTCATCAATATCTCCCCTCTTTCAGTTTAAAGCCATTGCCCCTTGTCCTGTCACTACATGCCCTTGTCCAAAGTCCCTCTCCAGCTTTCTTGTAGCCCCTTTAGGTATTGGAAGGCTGCTAGAAGGTCTCCCCAGAGCCTTCTCTTCGCCAGGCTGAAGAATCCCAACTCCCCCAGCCTGTCTCCATAGCAGAGGTGCTCCAGCCCTTGCATCATCTTCATGGCCTCCTCTGAACTCGCTCCAACAGCTCCATGTCTTTCTGCTATTGAGGACCCCAGAGCTGAACGTGGCACTGCAGGGGGAGTATCATGAGAGCAGAGCAGAGGGGCAGAATTCCCTCCCTCGACCTGCTGCCTACACTGCTTTTGATGCAGCTGAGGCTACAGCTGGCTTTCTGGGCTGCCAGCGCACATTGCTGGCTCATGGTGAGCTTCTCATCCACCAGCACCCCCAAATCCTTTTCCTCATGGCTGCTCTCAATCCATTCTCCACCCAGCCTGTACTTGTGCTTGGGATTGCCCTGACATGCACAACATTTCCACTGACATGCAACCTCTCATCTTCCCACTCTATCCCAAATAGCACTCCATTTGCTCCCCACGGTAGTTTCTGGAGGAGATGAGGTCCCACCACTGTTGCTTGGGTGCTGCAGCTGCTCCTCTGCTCAAGGAGCCTGTGGCCAGCCTTCAACAGCTCACACGCCCTTGGTGTGCAAACAACCTGCTGGTTCTCACGTCGTTTCTCTCAGAGGGAGAAATGTAAAAAAATGCAATACTTCTCCATTTCTCATTTCTGCCCAACGGAGTGAAGAGACCCCTCAGGTATCTCTGGACAACTCTCCATCCCTGACCCTGCTTCGATCTCCTGGAGGAAAGGACAAACTCACCCAACTCTACTAACCCCACCATTTTAAGATTGCAATGACCTCAAGTAGCTGCCACCACTAACACCAATAGTCAGAGATTTGTTATAAAATAATCAGCAGTAAGAAGCACTTCAGAGGTTCCTGAAGACCAGGGAACCCCAAAATCAGACCAAACACTCCACAAATATCAGCAAAAGCTATACTCTGAGATACAGGGGCCGTGGGTTTCCAGGGCTCATGTTCTCCACCAGCCCCAAGCTCTGAATGCAAAACTGCTCCGGGATGCCCTACCCTGGGTAACCCCTGCCTGGGGAGGGTAGTGGGGGCTGGGTGCATCAGATGGAGATTTAGGGTCCATCTGGAGCTGAAGAGGTGCTTATGCCCAGGAAGGCACTGCAGATCTCAGGGCTGCTTTGGCATCATCCTTAATCCTCTCCAAGAGCACCAGCCCCGGGCAGAGGCAACGTCTTGAAGGGACGAGCGAGGTTGTTCATGCTCCTCCTTGGAGATGCTCCTTTCTTGGCTCTTTGCAGCCTCCCAAATCCCCCTCCCATCCTTCCTTCTCTCCCACAATTTCCATGTGTGATTTAAAGGGAGATGAAGTTGTAGGAAGGAGGAAAATGGGATGCAGCTGAGTGTCCCTGGGGCTGGAGAAGGGATTGAGTTTAGTTCTCCTCCTGGAATGCAGCATGAGCTCTGGGATGCCGGAATGAAGTCACTGTGGGCTCCTAAACCCTGCTGAGAGCTGGCTCCCCCCTAAGAAGTCGTAATCCCTCTTAGGGGCACGAGCAATAATCAGGGATTTGGCTCCAGGTGTGCAAACGCGTGTGCATGCAGCATGTGTGCGTGTGTACAACTAGCTCACAAAGAAAAGAAAGGCAGCGTGAATGAGGAAAGAAAAATGCTGAATTGGACAATTTTGGGTTCCTGACCCCACGTCTCCTATTGACCCTCAGGGCTGGTGTGCACCTGTGGCAGGCCAGAGGGGATAATCCGGTCCCAGTCCCGGAGGAGGGGCAGGATTTATGCCCAGCTGGAAGTCAGGCAGCTCCTCCAGCTGCCATGGCCTGGGCTGGCTCTGGTGGCGTTGGAGAAGGAGCCACATCCCAGAGGCACCTCCGCATCCTCAGATGGCTGGCAGCGACCCGAGAAGCTGCTCCAGGTAGGACGGGTGTCCCCCTGTGAGGACAGGACACCCCCTCGATAAGGTCACAGCTGTGTCCTATGCCAGTCAGCCATTTGCTGACCGTGTCCTTCCAGCCCAGAAAACTGAACAATTTCCAAACCCAGGAGTTGAAATGAGATTAATTCAGTCTTTGGCCTCTTCAGGGATCTCCTCGCTAGAGTACAATGGCATGAAGCGTGAAGGGAAGAGGGGCACAAGAAAGCTGGTTAATATTCAAGGATCACCTCCTCCAAGCTCAGGAGCGGTGCATCCCAACAAAGAGAAAGTCTGGTAGGAACACCAGGAGGCCTGCATGGATGAACAAGGAGCTCCTGGACCAACTTGGGCACAAAAAGAAGGCCTACAGAAGGTGGAAGCAAGGACAGGTAGCCTGGGAAGAATACAGAACGATTGTCCGAGAAACCAGAGATCAGGTTAGGACAGCTAAAGCCCTGATAGAGTTAAATCTGGCCAGGGACATCAAGGGCAACAAGAAAAACTTTTATAGATATGTCAGTGATAAAAAGAGACCTAGGGAAAATGTAGGCCCTCTCCGGAAGGAAACGGGAGAGTTGGCTACCCGGGATATGGAGAAGGCTGAGGTTCTCAATGACTTATTTGCCTCAGTCTTCACTGACAAGAGCTCCAGCTGCACAGCCCAAGTCACAGAAGGCAAAG